TTTGGGATATGTCCCCAGGCAAAAATGATGGTGAGGACTCATAAAAAATATTTACCTTCCCTAAGGCACAGTCTTGCATTTCCTGTACTCTAACACTTGAAAATAGCTGTTTCAAGTATTCTGTTCAGTATCCCCACTATTTATGACACAAAGGCAAACCCAATCCTTGTGATTACGACTATAAACAAGTTCCACAATTCCTTTTGATCTCATCTGCCATGCAATATAGCATTAAAACAAGCCAACTTCAGTAATTCATACCTTCCATTTGTATATCATCCTTTAAAAAATGTGCTTGGGATCATAATATGGGAAGGTTAAAAAAAGAAAAGCTTTTTCCTTCAACCAGTCCCTTAAGGAGAATGGAGGTGAGTGTTGGGAATTGAGATGTCTGTATCCATTGTTGTCAAAACATGCCAACTCTCTACACTTCTATATTTACATAGGAATTGGCAATCTTAGGACATCAACTCTATGTCTACATTTACATAGGAATTGGAGCAATCTTAGGACATCAAGTGTTCAAAAGGTGGGACCTATCAGGGCTAATTTCGAAACACTTTTTAGATTCTCCTCAAAGGAGTGGACAAAGACCACCAAACACAGAATGTTACATTTTGCATGTAAGAGCTCCCATATTCCACATTTGATAAACTTATACTTGGTGCTCAAGAGTCATTAAACATTAAGTCCCAATACTTTATTATAAGTATTTGAAATAATATTTATAAAATTCTTGAGGTCAAATTCTTCTCTGACCCTTCCCCAGTCTTCAATATCTAATAGAACTAAATGAATAGTGTGTTATGTTTTATAGATGAATATTTATAATTCATTAAAATATGGACCAATTATCCAATCATGGAGAAGATTGCTAAAACACATTTTAATGAGTATGTTTCTAATTATAAACTAGTTAAAATAATTTAATATGAAATATAATAGAAGTAATCCTGGCCTTATCCATGGTTCCTAGGAGTAATGCTAGAAGCCTTACTTTTCTTTCAAAGTCTTTTGTCCAACTAGTGACGGAGAGCAAGGCCTTTGCTTTAATATATATTTGTTTCCTGAAGGTACCATGAACATCTTCATAACCTAGAGGGAAACTATTTAACTTCTCCAAGGCTCAAATTCCTTGATTTTAAAATGAGAATGTTTTTAATCTACCATACCAGATTTATTTTTAAAAAATAGCAAAAGTGACCTAGTACATTTCTTAACATTCTATAGCATTTCGCAATGTAGAAAAACAAGCATGGAAAGGAAAAGGGAGTATCATGAACTGAAATCGCTTTCCATGTAGGTATAAGTTTGTCAGGATAAACCCAACTACTATATATAACCATAAAGCTCTAATAATGTACCTGGGAAACACTCCTGGGGTCCCCAGCCAACTCTTCTATTTACTCATAGAACTGACCCTCGCCCTGACCCCCTCCTATTATATATTTTTCCTAACAAAATGAAAATACTAACTCAAAAATTAAAAGTAAAAACAACATATTTGAGAGATTTTTATATAAAAATTGTTGAGGCTGGTATAAGAGAACTAGAAAAGTTACATGGAGGCAGAGCAGAGAGAATAACAGCAGAACTCTTATTTCTGAAGACACAGCATACTCCTGAGCTGGTATATGGTACTCCTAAGTTTATGTGTAGAAGCTGGGGCAATCACTAGGTTGACCTAATGTGTTTTTTTCCTTCTCTTTGGGATCACTGGGGGGTTTTGCCTAATATTCTCTGTCTAGAAGCCATTGTTTCATATAATTTGTTCTTTTTGTTGTTGTTGTTTCAGTTAGAAGGGTAAATATGAGCCATGCTACTCCATCCTGACCAGAAAGGGAAGTCTCTAGCTCCTTCCTCCCTCCCTTTCTCCCTTCCTTTCTTCCTTCCTTCCTCCCTTCCTCCCTTCCTCATTGTTTCTTTCTAGTCCGGAATTGAACCCAGGAATGCTTAACCACTGAGCCACAACCCCAGCCCTTTTTACTTTTTATTTGAGACAGGGTCTTGCTAAGTTGCCCAGGTTGGCCTAGAACTTGTGATCTTCCTGCCTCAGCCTCCCACTTCACTAGGATTATGGGCATGCGCACCACACCCAGCTTCTGTTGCTTTCTAAATTAACAAATTAGCCACATTTGGAGGGATGATTTTAATGTGTTCTATCTTGCTGATTAGTTTTTCAGTAAATATATGTCATAATGTTAATGAAATACATATTTCTAAAACCAAAATTTCCATATTGAATTCATCAATAAATATAGAAGTTTCTACTATAGTTTGCATAGTGTATAATTGCATCTTATTAGGTAGAAGCATGTAATTGATTTGTTACACTATAAATGTTCAAGTATATGGAGAAAGATATTATGATGGTTAATTTTTTTATGTCAACTGGACTAAGGGTAGCCAGAGAGCTGGCAAGACATTATTTCTGAGTGTGTCTGAGAAGATATTGCTAGAAGAGATTAGCATTTGAATTAGTAAACTAAGTAAAAAAATCTTCCCTGACTACTATAGGCAAGCATCATCTCATCTATTGAGAGCCTGGATAAAACAAAAAAAGGGAAATAAGGGTGAATTCTCTCTTCCTGAGCTGGGACATCCATCTTTGGTCCTTGAATATTGGGGCCCCTGGTTCTTGGGTCTTTGGACATGGACTGAATTATACCACTAGCTTTCCTGGGTCTCCAGTTTGAACATGGCAAATTGTAGGACTCAGCCTCCATAATCACATGAACCAATTGCTATAATAAATCTCCTTGTATATATCTTCATATATCTTATATTCCTAATATCCTGAATAATGATTATTGACTTGAACTGAATGGTGTAAACTGCACCAAAGCTGCAGCACAAGAGGGCAAACTCTCTAAAACAAATGTTGCAAAAAAGAACTGGCAGGAGTGCATCAGTGCTTCTCTGGCCAAACTGAGGTCCTCACAGTTGCTGTGTCTGTCCACCTACTGCTAGTTACCTTCTATTCTGGGCAAGGTTTATTTACCAAGAAAGTAATGTTAGATCCTCTCTCTCTCTCTCTCTCTCTCTCTCTCTCTCTCTCTCTCTCTCGGTGGAAACATCATCTGTTGCTTATAAATCCCCTAAGATTAGCATGCTCATGATTCCTTTCTGCTATAATTTTGATCTGGATGTCCCCCTATGTAATAAAAGCTTGACTGTTGAGGTGGCACTATTGATTGGGAACTGGTAGAGCATTTCGGGTGGGGCCTAGTGGGAATTCTCAGTTATTGGGGCTGTACCCTTGAAAGAGACTGAGGGACCCTGGCCTCCTCTTCTCATTGTCTTGCTTCAGCCATGAAGCAAGCAGTTTTGCTCTGCCATGTGCTCTCATGATGATGTATTGCCTTGCCACAGACCCAGAACAATGGGACCTCTACTGATTGTGGACTGGAACATCTAAAACTGTGAGCCAAAATAAAACTTTTCTAAGTTATTTCCAGTATTTGCTGTAGTGACAGAAGGATGATTAACTTACAGCAGAGCACTTAATTCCTGAGTCCAAGGGCACCAAACAGAAGTTAGTTCTCCTTTCATCGACAGTTCTCATAAGAGCCTGGTACATGGTGGATGGTGCCACGAATCCTGAACTATGTCGTCTTGGAGCAGGCTCTTGCTTGCATTTGCTCATGAAGAACTCCAGTGCTTGCAAATTCTACCTGTTCTTAGCCCCTCCCACCAGGTGTCCTGTGAATTATCAGAGATATCTCTCCTGTGTTCTCATAGAATGAACCCTTTTCTATAAGGCTTCCCAGACTGCATCCTGCTGCCCACAAGACTATCTCCATTACCATGGCAGCCAGGGTACCCTAACACTCAAGTTAAGAGCACCTTGTCCTGAACCAACCCCCCACCATTGGCTCTGACCTTAAAGGTGTCAAGCAACTCTGGGTTCCATTCTGGTGGGAGAGAAAGCATCTTTTTCCTCTCTGTACAGCAAGCTATTACCTGGTCCCCTGCAGCACAGCTGCTTATGCCCACCACCACACACAGGGTACAGAAAACAGATCCTTTAACCTCTGATTGGAATCCTCTGTCCAGTGCAAGAAGCTCAAGGAGACAACGTCTTTCTATGCTTTCTATTATCATCTTTTATCATTTCATCATGCTTAAAATAAGCCACAGGTTCAAATGGTCAAACCCTGTGTCCTCACCTGGGACTGAGCAGTCGTGTCCTGCCACACATTGTAAGATAAAGGAAGCTTGTTTATTCATTTCTTTGATGCAGTGTTACCTTTGATTCATTGTCGTACACTGAGAACTTGGTTCTACCTAATGGCTCCCATCTAAATTCACTTTGTTATGGTTCTGAGGCTAATATTGGGAAAACAAGAATTTTGGTTCCAGTTCTTTCTGAAACCCTCTGGATAATATTGAAAAGTTAACTGATTAGGACCCATTTCCCCATGATTGATCTACTGTGTGAGGTTTGGTGTGAATAAAACAATATACCCTTTGTCCGGGTGGCTTTAGTGATGGTAGGAGTGGTTATGGATATTCTCTGTAATAATAGTTAGGCATTGGATTGTCAGTTATTGCCTTACTCTAAACTTGTGGGGTTTTTTTCTTTTCAGATACAACCGTTGTATAACCTCTGAAGAACTTTATGATCTAAGTAGTTCATTAAAAATAACATGATTTTTTTCAACGTCATTAAAAATTAACATGATTTTTTTCAATGTCATGAAGATTGTGTTGAATTTGAAAGATGGACATAATATGCCTAACTAGAAAAAAAAACAGTATAAAGTGCTTCTCTGAATATATGATCCTAATCCTGCATTGAACAGGTATAGCATCCTCATAGCTGCGCCAATACCAAGATACTATATAATGTAGACACTCTTAACAGAGTAACCAAAATCACTGATATTTGTACAAATAAAGTCTCACTCATATTAACAGTTAACTTTGGAGTTTGATTCAAACAACTTCAGCAGTTCGATCACAGTTTGGGAGTGGCAAGGGCATGAGACTGAGTATGTTTACACTCTCTCATACGTCCGTGTACAGATGACATTGTTCACGGCACTTTCCTGGAAGACAAAAAGAGGGAGAATTATCTCAGTATTGTTGAGGAAATGAACACCTGGAAAAATATAAACTAGGTGCTGTCCATATACACCATTCCTTAAAAATATTGAAAAGAGATATATAGGTGATATTCACTGATATCATATACAAGGTGTGTATATTATATACATCTGTATACATATAAAAAAGTAAGGCATACACTTAGAATCTAAAGTCCTACTTAAAATATTTTAAATGCCTACATTGAGGCATTTTTGCTATTTTACATGTTTGGTGTTTTTGAGATAATAATACGAATTTAGATCAATGCCTCATTTTATGGTTTCAGAACACGGATTTATGTACATGATGATATTTAATGCTCCCAGAAAACCTGTGAAGGTACTGTCTACATCTTGAAGGCAAGGAATCTTAATTTTGGGAAGGATAAATGACTTGGCCAAAGTCACAACATACTGAATGGCAGAAATGAAAATCCACGCCCTTGTGTTCTGAGTTTATTGTTCTTTCTAATGAACTCTCTGTTTATTGGCTATTTATTGAACTATTTATTTGCCTATTCATTGGTTAGTGTCGTTATCGGAATCAATAAAATCAGTCATTCTTGATCCTTCCCTTCTATTGTAGTCTTAGTTGTAGAAAGAAAAAAAAATCCCCTATTAAGATTAGTCTAGCTTTTTTTGTTTACCACCACACAAATTTTGTATTTTTCCTTTAAACTATTTTATATTTTGCTCAATATTATCTTTTTTATTTATTTTGGTGGAAGTGGGGTTTGGAGGAGGAGAGTCATTGACATTGTTCCCTCCTCCACTCTGTAGAAGTAAGAAAGACACCAGGGAATCTTGAGCAGGAACAGAAGGGACACACAAGAGCACAAACTTTGGATTTAAGTGTCCTGAGTTTTAATCCCAACATTAACACACTTTTCTAACTGTATAGTTTCCTCATCTGTCAAAGGACTAATAAATCTAACTTCACAGGATTATTGTGAGGATGAGATAAATAATACCTAAAAACATGGTGACATGTTAACAGCATGTGTTGGTTCTTACCAGTATTAACTCATCCCTGGGCCAAGAAGACCCCACCTTCAGCTGCACAATCCTAGCTCAAATGTCCCTTTCATGTTTTTGTTTGTTGTTGATTTGGAAAAACAGTATGACATTAATTCCAGCATAGGGTGGAGGGTTGGCAACAACCTTAGTCCCTATTGAAGTCTTTTTTTTAAATTTTAATTTGTTTTAATTAGTTACACATGACAGTACAATGACCTTGACATATCATACATTTGAATCAGATGGGATATAATTTCTCATTTTTCTGAGTGTACAGGTTGCAGAATCACATTGGTCATGCAGTCACGTATATACCCACAGCAATGCTAGTGTGTGTTTTATTCTACTGTCCTATTGAAATCTTTATTGCACAAATTCATGCTTGCTTTAGTTTATCCATGAGTTGAAGAACTGAGCTACACAATTTTCTAACTCTTTAGGTTTCTTTAGTACCTCAAGCATACACATTTTATACTGTTTATGGTCTGTCAATGTTTTCCATCAATTCTTATAAAGTAAGAATAAAAAAGAAAAATGTCTTAGATCGTCTTAGAACCAGTTACTTGGGTGATTGCATCTTAGGTGTAAGAGAGAACAGGAAGAAGAGCTCACTCACCACCACCATTTTGCCATCTACCAGCTTCCTCCGAATGGTGGTTTCCTTGCCATTCCAGTCCTGAACTTGGACTAAGGTGTCATTATCTAAGGTCACGGTACTCTGAAAAACAGGCCAAACCAAGTTCAGATCCAATTGTCACCTTTGAACACTAACATGTGATCAAGTGCCCAATTCTCTTCAGCTATTGATACCTTAGGGTAGTTTTAGGATGGTATTTACAATTCTATCTAAGACTTTTTCAGCAATAATTCTGTTGAATGATTCTTTGGGGAGTGGCAGAATGCTTTACAAAAGTAAAAACACAATAACTTGAACCCTTTCTTTATCTCTTACTGCATATGATATTATCTTTTTGCATAAAGAATTCCAAAAATTAAGTTTCAACTTTAAAGATACATGAAGCTAATTCACACTCCCATTGTAAGAGCTTTCCTAAGGATGAAAAGTCCCCTTTCCTTTTCTTACCTCAACAATATTTTAAAGATTTTTTTTTAAATTACAGTATTTTCTCTTTTTTAAATTTAGCACCCACATCTTGACTTCACATTTTAGTTCAAAATTCTTTAATTTTACATGGTACAGAAATTAAGTTTCATATTTACTAACTTTAAAATGGTGTGGCAGTCCCTTCTATCAGGATATTGCCTTCCACCGAGATTAACAATCTTATATTGAGTTAATTCAGTCAAACAACAAGTGTTTATTGACCAACTATTATGTACCAAGTACTGGGTTCTGTGAAACAGATGAGAAAACATCTTCCAGATGCTCACATTCTTGGGTGGGGAATCAGACAACAAACAATAAACAAGGTAAAATATGTTGTGTTGGTCAGTTTTATGGCACTATCATCAAAATATTAGAAAAGAACAACTTATAGAAGGAAAAGTTTATTTTGGCTCATGGTTTCAGAGGTTCAGTCCATGGTGGACCAACCCTATTGCTCTGAACCCAGGGTGAGGCATGACATCGTGGCAAAAGGGGAAGATGGAGGAGCACCGCTCCATTCATGGTGGCCAGGAAGCAGAGAGCATGAAGGGAAGGAGCTTCAGGGAAGATGAATCCTTCCAGGGCAGGATCCCAGAGACCCAATTCCTCCAGTCACACCCCACCTGCCCACAGTCACCAATCCCACAATTCAAATCAGGATGGACTGATGAGGTGACAGCTCTCATAATCCAATAATTTCATCTCCAAATATTCCTGCAATAACACAGGACCTTTTGGGAGACACCTCATATCCAAACAATAAAATATGTATTATAAGTAAATGACACGTTTCGATTGGAACCCATGAGATATGACTAAAAACTGTCCCTTTCAGGCTGAGACGATAAAAAGCTCAGAGTCTTTTTGTCTTGACCAAAGAGACCACAAGTTCCAGATCATGCAGTTATGAGGTAGATGAACATCTTTTCACATGAATTCCTGAGAGATTAAGAGAGGCAGATATTCTTTCCATCTACTACACACACATGCACACACTTCCTCAACTCCCCCCCACACACCCAGCATTGCCTATGTACTCTTAGTTAGAAATAATTTTGCACCGTGTTAAGCCATGGAGAGCTAGTGACTCACTTGTTAAAGGAGCCTAACCTTGCTGATACCAACTAATACAAGTTTCATCCATTGAGATTCTATGTGTGGAAAATTACAAAATTGAAAGGGAAAGCTTTTGTTTCTGATAGAACTAAATATTAATCTAGGAAAATGATTCCCAGAATGTGATTCTGCTAGGCATCTGCATCTGAATTGTTTTTTTTTAAATTGCAATTTTCAGGTGCCCGTAACAGACTTCAGCACCCCTGGGATGGGATTGAGCAGAAAGCATTTTCTACAAGTATCCTGGGAGATTTTAATGTATACTAACATTCAACATCTTCAGATTTAGGTTTTATCCAGAGCTTATCTAATAAGACTTTATCTATGCTTGCTATTATTGCTTACTTAGGATGATTTCTACTAAGGATCTTTATGAAAATTATCGGAAAGACTGTTGCAGGCCTCACCTTGGTTTTATGGCCACCTGGTGTGGTTTCTTCAAATTCTTCGCCCAGTTTGAAGGAGATCTTATTATTCCTAAAGATGCTTTTGGTTTTTATGGTGATCACATCTCCGTTTGTACTGATGGTCACAGTGGGTTTTGCCAAACGACCCAGTTTCCGGTTGGCTCTTCCTATTCCTGGGAAACAGATAAATGAACATATAGTTAAATCTGCTGTTGGTTTCAATGACTCAGATTGTTTGTATAATTCTTTACTAAGTGGTGGGGGGGTTGTGAGTTAAACAAAATTTCCTCCCTTTTTAAATTTTTTATTTTTTCAGTACTGGAGATCAAAACCAGGTCTGGCCCCAGCCCTAAAGCCGAGTTAAACAGATTTTAGTGCAGAATGAATGCAAACATCTAAAGTTAGCAGCTCCACCGTTACATAATAAAATCCATTAATTTTGACCAAGAAAAGGCAGTCTCCAATTTTTGTTTAGTTATTGTTTTGTTTCTCTAATTCAGAAGTTAGTTATTAATCTTGTTGATGCAAGGATCCCTTTGAATATCTGTTTAAAGATATGAACCATCTTCCTATTTAAAAAAGTATAACTATTTCACATATAAACAAAATACCCTGGTATGGATTCTTCCAGATCTTTAGTTCTTCACTTAACATTCATATATAGGGTTTGATCTTTCTACTAGGTATGCAGATTAAAATAAAATTATATTAAAATACATGTAACATGAGTTTACATTTTAACCATTTAAAATGTATAATTCAGGCATTGTAAGTACCTCAATTATCCCCAATGTATATAAGGTTTTTAAAAATATAATTGCTATATTATATATATTGTTATTCAACTTTCCTTTTCCTCTTATCTATGTGTCTTGAAGACCATTGACATAAGTACATACAGATGTAAATTTTCATAGTGACATAATATTCCACAGCATGTACATATCAAAATTTGTTTTCACTATCCCTCATTGATGATCACTTGTTTGTTTCCATTTTTGTTATTACAAATACTTCTTCAGTAAATATCTTTGCACATACAGTTTTATGGCAGCTTATGTAGGAATGTTTCAAATAGAAATAGAATTCTGTACATTGTAATATTAAAGGTAAATTTCTAAGAGAAGATATATTGGGGAAATATTATAACTTGGTTTACAGAATTCATGCTATAAAACATTATTACAAGATATTACAGGTTGAATATGGATACTGAAGTCATTCATATCCTAATCCCTGGAACCTATGAATGTTATTCTATATGCTAGAGGGGATTTTGCAGGTATAGCTAATTTAAGGATGGGGAGATTATCCTGGATTATCAGAGAGGAACTTAAAGTTAATCACAAGTTTCCTTGTATGAGAAGAAAAGGTGAATGTTAGACAACAGAAGAAAAGAGTCCAGAGTAAAAAAATGGGAGCAAAAATTGGGATGTTGTAACCACACACAAAGGAAAACCAATAGCTATTGGAAGCTGGAAAATAAGATCTATTTTGAAGATCTCCTAAACATTAGAGCAAATGTTTATAAAATAATTGTTTTTAAAAGTAATTGTGTTTTTTGTTTTAAATTATTAAAATAATTTGCTGTTTAGTAAATAAAATATGCATATTTTGTTTATATAAAACAAACATGGGATATTACATGAAGAATTATATCAATTCCAACCTGGTTTTGTACAAATCTGCATCCTAAGATAGAAACAGTATTTATTTTTCCTTTGTGAAAAACTAGGAGCCACAAATTAGTCATATTTAATAAAAGCAAATTAGGTCCTATCAAAACTCCCATCAATACTAGATATGCTATAGAAATAAACATGGCTTACCCATTTCCTTCATATATTTTTCGAAATTTTCACAAGAAATCGATTTCCATTTCCCTTGGAGCTGATCCACCATTTTGTCTGAGATAAGTTGATCTCAAAGAAAAATGGCTTCATATGGATGTGTGTTGGTATTCCCTGAAATAGTATTGGAACCTGTTTTTAATACAATTCTGGGTAGAAAGAGCAATGAGAAAAATCAGGAGGAAAAAAATTGAGAAACTCTTGATCCTTGTGATTTTCCCTTAATACAATTTAAATCAGAAAAACTCTCTTAAATATAAATAAATTAGGATGGAAGTAAAAACATGGTAGTTTTACCAGGACTTCTAGCACTAATAAAGGACCAAAGCTAGATACCATTCCCTTTCTTAGTATCAGCCATACTCACACAGGTGTTTGTGCACCTCTGATTATGCTATAGACTGCTGTGCCCCAGGTCTCTTTCTCTCTGACCAAGGATGATTCATCAAGTAAACAAACAACAACAACAACACACCAATTTGTTGGCTGCTTGGTGATTTTATATTCTCTTTGATAATTTGAACTAATACATATATGGTATTTCACATTTGAAGTAAAAAGATTGGTCAGGACTAGAACAAGCATTTTAAGTGACAAGTATACTGAACAAGAGACTGGAACAGAGGGGAAAAAAGAGAAGAAAGAGATTGTGTTACACACACACACACAGGCCTTGTTTCTGATGGTTTTCCAGATGCAGGCTCAATTTCTCATAACCTTAATCATCATTGTCATGAGATTGCCGAATATCTTCTTGGTAAATCTTCCTTAATTTAGGATGATTTCTGTACCTTTCAACCTTGACTGTGACACACTGCTGACTACTGATATCTGTAAAAAAAATCAGAACAGGGCAAAGAATATAATACAAATATATCAAACATCAGGTCGGAGGACAAACTCAGCCTGATGCGTTAGCATCCACCCAATCTCAGCAGTGTAGGATGTTTACTCATTGGTATAAAGTTACTAAGAAACACTGACATCATAAATTGTTGTAAAATAGGAAACGGGATATAACACTGTATAATTCCCATTAAAATGTTAAATGTCCAAACTCTAACATCTGTGAAGGCAATTACCCAAGTCAATAGTTTTATTACTAATTATTTAACAAACATTTATGGAACAAAATGTTTATATATTTATTTTTATTTTATTTATATATAAATATATATATCTATATTTATTTATTTATTTATTTATTTATTTATTTATTTAAATGTTTATATATTTAGCCTAATTCGAGGCTAAATTTTTTATATGGTACTGATTAAATATCCCAGTTATGATTGGTAAAGACACCCCATGCGTTGGTTGGCTTTCCTTTCCTGAGTTAGGCCATTTCATGTTAATGTGTACCAATTATAAGTTTATGACCACTCATTAGGCATGGGGTAAAGCCAGGAAATAACCCACCACTGAGGACATACCTTAGTGAGGGTACTAAAATTAGGCACTGAAGTTACTGAAATTCCTACAATTTTTCAAAAAAATGTTCAACATGTTACCATATATGTCAGACACCCATTGATTCCCATCATAAGGAAATCACGGATTGAAGATGATGATGATCCTTGAAGATGATGTTATGTCGGGAGCGATATTTCTCCCTGCTGCTGGTAAGTTAAACTTGTAGAGGTGTCAGTAGATGAATCCTAAGATTGAGCCTAGGTGTGAGCTCTGCCACTATGACCCCTCCATTCATGTGTTCGTCGTGTCAAGTTCAAAGACCTGCCGACTGGCCAAGTCTTTTTGTCTTCTCAGTTGTCCAAGTGATGGATACTTTCTAGTGTCCATATGTGAGTAAAATATCTCCACACACTGGGCTCACTCCCATATGGGCATCCACAGTCTTCTACACAAAACCTCCTTGCCTGCAATTTTTCAGGCAACCATCAGCCTTCATCCATGGCTTTGTATATTTTCCCATCTCAAGCCACTGCTCCCTCCATACAAAATGGGTAAGAGGCTCACAGCTCTGAGCTTTGCCTATTGAGATGATTTTCCTATACCAGTTTCTCAAGCCCCTCTCACTCCACGAGGAGTAAAAGCATTGCTGTGCTGACTTTCAGCCTGCCCCCAACTCTGAGCTGACTGACCCATAAACATGTTCATGCTTTTCCTCCTCCTCCTTCATATGGTTATGTGAGACCCCCCCCCCCATGCTGTCCTAGGCATGATCAGAGGGTGGGGTGTTGGTGCTTCCTGTGGTAGGTGACCTGGGAACCTGGGCTGTCTGCTCCTGAGGTTACCTTATGACTTCCGGTCTTGCTCAGGCTTGATCCCAGAGGACTGCTACCAGAACTACCAGAGTTTATAACCCCGTGGGTCAGTCGGATGGAACCTGGCTCATAATGGAGAGTTCTGGTTGCATTGTTCCTTGGGGTTCTGTAATCAAGAATTCTATCTCTACTGGGACTCACTAACACACCAGAACTTTTCCAAAGGCTTATGTCTCTGTTGCAGATGTCCTTGCTCTGGAACCCCAGGGGTCTGTGCTATGGTACTCCCAAGGGGCTTTGTATATAGATGTCCTACTGCATTTTTTCCTACCACTAACACCTCCAGCAACACAGGGTTTACCAGTTATATGACCCAAGCAGTAAGGCTGCTAGTACTGTAGCCTCTCTGCATGGAGATGCCTTTCCTGCTTCAGGCCTCACTGAAGGCAGGTAGCCTTCAGTGCATCCAGTAAGGATATTGGCTGGAGCACACTCCTGTATGAGCAACCTGGCAGCACTGTAAGTCAGAGGGTCCTAGGAACATTTTGGTAGAAGAGGCAAAATAAATGTGTTTTGGAGGAGAATACCATGCATGGCTTGACTTCACTCACTGGACCTCTAAAAATTGGATAAGAGTCAAAGGCCCCTCAATCATCACAACTTTTTACTCCTGCGCTCTGTATGACACGGTCATCCTTGTCAATCAAGGCCTCTAGAATGTTAGCCACTTCTCACTCCTTCTGCCTTATGAACACAATGCTGTGTCACATATCCAGGCAGGACCTCATCTGAGTAGATGATGACAGAAAGCACGAGATCACACAGTCTGGGACAAAAGTGCAAATATATATGGGTGTCTGTTTCATGTAAATACTAACCGTTTCTGATCTTTCCTAAGACAGAAGAGAATGCCAAACCAAGGTCTGCATACCGTGTACCTGAGGACTCTCCAGGCTCCAATACCAAGGATAACACATCTATCAGAGTTATTGTGTCTGCAGAGGCTAGCAGTCATTCTCCAGGATTCACTTGGTTTCTCCAGTAGTCACTCTGGTGAATTAAATGCACTAGCATATGGCCCACCACTCTACATTCTTCAGATTCTGCAGGATAGCACTGATTTCTGCCATTCCTCCCACCACCACCACTACCAAAGGCAATATTTTTTGATTCACCATTTAGCCAGGGATGGAGGAGGGTGAGGGTTTAGGGCGTGGGGATGTAGGGAGTACAGTTTCAGGAGCTTCCCATTTATTTCCCCCATTATGGCAGCTCCCATGTAGAAGAATTCAAGGGTAAGTAACTTCAATGGCTACATTTGTCAATCCCAGTTACACTCAGTGACTGAGGGAATGACTGCTTGATGATCTCACTGACCTGCGGGACTTATTGAGAGCAAGACTTTGGTCAGGATTCTGTTTTATTACCTGTCCCTGTATGACTTTACTTTGGCATAATGCTTTGGAATATCATGACTGTTAATTTAGACCCAATACCCCCAAAGTATCTTCTTCTTTCCCCCTTTGCATGTTTTCTCAAGTAAATTATCACAGGTCTCTTTTGAGGAGAATGGGAAGAACTAACAGTGTAGTATTGTCATGGTATCTCAGTGTTCTTTTCCCTGTTGACTTATTGCCTCTTTAGTCGCCAGTTTCTGAGTCTGAAATTGGCTTCTGTATGACATCTAAGCAAAGGATGATTTTTCTATTGGGACAGCCATCCCCAGCTTACTGCTTATCTTGCCTACTTGTGGTTGAATATATTAAACATTACCATCTATTTGGTTTCCATGGATTCAATGTCCTTTTAATCATCTACAAAGCCCCCTCCAGGTCAACCCCCTTAACTGTGCCTTCAATCTTGCCCCATATCATAGTAACTATAGTACCCTGACCTGTGGCAGGAAAGTGCTGCTATCTGGCCCACACTGTTTTAGACTCCTCTTTGTGCCCATTGCTATCAATAAGCCAAACTCGATGGCCACCTGGAAAGAGCAAGCACTGAGACTTTTGGTGTTCACTGTTGCCCTTCTCACCATGCATTCTGATGATCTGATGAATGGTGCATCTTTGGGATTCTCTTCTGGAACATAATCCTCTGATTGTACCATTCTCCATCCCCTCCCTCTCCTGAAAGATATTTTGACTCTGTTGACCAATGACAGAGGTACCGGTCTCATAACTTTCTTATAAAGAAGAAAAGGAAAGCCCCACCATATAAGAGTTTCCAGCCTTTTGGCATATGGAACTTGAGTTATTTCATCTAAACAATTTGAAGTATAATTGAGCTGGACAAGTCACAGTGAACCCTCTGAAGATATTGGCAAGAGAAACTCAGGCCTTCCTCATTTGCTATTCATTCAATAATCACCGGAATGCCTACTGAACAGATCCCCACTATGGAGAGGGGATTGAAAAAGACAACCAAAATGTTTTCAACATTAGGAAAGAGGATCTGGAACTATGATAAATTCCCTAATGATTCCAGATGGATACCTGGCAACGTAATAGGTAGCTGGAGAAGAAATTGATATTTTAGAGGAGGGATTGGCAAACTATGATCCATATACAAAATCTAGGTGTCGCGTGTAGATAGCCACACATGTTCCTTTACATATTATCTATGGCTGCTCTCATGCTACAACAGCAAAATCAGATAGTTGCAACAAACACCCCTTGACTCACAAAGCCCAACATATTAATTATCTGGATTGTTGGGGGAAAAAAAAGTTTCTCAATCCCTATTTCAGAATCTTATGTCTGATTATTTAAACTGGGGAGTATAACCTAACCACAGCTGTGTTTGTAGGTTTTCTTTGCCTAGAAGA